AGAACATCCTAATGGCAAGATCAGGGAAGATCTTCATAATGACACATTGTACTCAAACTTTCAACAGTAAAACGGAAAGAAAAGGTTCTAAAATGTGCACAAGAAAAAAGCTAGATTACATTCAGAGGAACCCCCGTTATGCTAACAACTGATTTCTCATCAGAAACTCTATAGACTAGGAGAGAATGTAGAGATAAATAAGTTCTAAAGAAATTGTCAACCTGGAATACTGTACCCAGCAAAGCTCTCAGTTATAACTGAAGATGAAATAAAGACCTTCCAAAAAAACCAGAAATTGAAAGAATTTGTTATCAGTTAGCCTGCCTTACAAATGATTCTTAAGATGTGCTACACATAGAAATAAATATAGAATGATAGTCAATTATGAAAGAATGTGAAGGCAGAAAGTCACCTAGTAAATGTATAAAGGAAATTCAAAGTAAACAATAGGAATATTTACATAAAAATGATAGGATGAAATCATTACTTATCAATAATAACCTTGAATGTAAATGACCTAAATTCTCCAATTAAAAGATACACACTGGCTGAAAGGATTAAAAAAAAAAAAAACAAACAAACAAACAAAAAAAAAACAAGACTCATTTCTTCCTGCCTGCAAGAAACAGTTCTCACCAACAAAGATACACACAGACTGAAAGTGAAAGGATGGAAAAAGATACTCCATGCTAATGGAAAGAAAAAGTGAGCAAGAGAAGCCAAGTTAATATCAGACAATATAGACTTAAAAAAACTTAAAAGAGACAAAGGAGGGCCTTATGTAATGATTAAGGGATGAATTCACAGGAAGATGTGACTAAATAAATGTATGTGCACCTAGTCCCAGGGTGCCTGGCTATTTAAAACAAATGTTAATGGATCTAAAGGTAGAAATAGACTCCAATACTATTGCAATTGGGGATTTTGATACCTCACTTTCATCAATGGACAGATCAACCAGACAGAAAATCAACAAAAAAATAGCAGAGATAATCTATACCATCGAACAAATGGGCATAACTGCTATGTACAGAACTTTCATCCCACAGTTGAAGAATACATGTTCTTTTCATTGGTGCATGGAACTTTATCTAAAACAGACAACATGTAGGACATAAAGCAAGTCTCAGCAAATTCAAAAAATTGAAATCATACCATGTATCTTTTTGAGCACAATGGAATGAAGCTGGAAATTAACAACTTCAGAAACTCCAGAAAATAAGCAAACACATGGAGACTGAACAACATGCTCCTGAATGAACAGTGGGTCATAGAAGAAATCAAAAGGGAAGTAAAAACCCCTATAAACAAATCAAGATGAAAATACAACATATCAAAACATATGGGGTATAGTAAAAGTGCTAAGAAGGAAATTCATGGCGATAAGTGCCTATATAAAGAAATTGGAAAGGTATCAAATATATGATCTAACAATGCATCTTAAGGACCTGGAAATAAAACAACAAACCAAACCCACAGTTAGTAGGAGGAAAGAAATAATTAAAAATTAGAGATGAAATAAACAAAAAAATTAAAAGATCAGCGAAATGAAGACATGGTTTCTTGAAAAAATAAAATTGATAAACCATTGGTCCACCTAATCAACAAAAGAAAGAGAAGACCTAAATCAGTGAAATCAGAGATGAAACAGGAGATATAGCAAAACATACTACAGAACTAAAAAGAATAATCAGGAATCACTACAAACAGCTAAATGCCAACAAACTGGAAAATCTGGAAGAAATGAACAGATTTCTGGACATGCACATTCTACCAAAATTGAGGCACAAAGACATTGAAAACTGAAACAGACCAATAACCAAGATGGAGATAGAATCAGTAAAAAAGGCCCACCCAACAAAAAAAAAGCCCAGACCAGATGGCTTCACTGCTGAATTTTACCAGATGTTTAAAGAAGAAATAATTCCAATTCTTCTCAAACTATTCAAAACAACCAAAAGAGAGGACATCCTCCCAAACTCTTTCTATGAGGCTAGACCCTAGTTCTAAATGAGAAAAAGATACAACAAGGAAAGAGAACTATGGACCCATATCACTGATGAACATAGATGCAAAAATCCTCAACAAAATACTGGCTAATTGAATTCAATAGCACATCAGAAAAATCATTCTCCTGGACCAAGTGGTATTTATCCCTGGTATGTAGGAATGATTCAACATAGGCAAATCACTAAATGTGATTTATTACATTAACAAATAAGAATAAAAACCATATGAATACCTAAATAGGTGCAGAGAAAGTATTTGATTAAAACAACATCCTTTCAAAATAAAAACCTTAAGCAAAATGGTTATAGAAAGAACATTCCTCAACACAATCAAGGCAATATATTACAAACATACAGCTTGCATCATATTGAATGAGGAAGAGTTGGAAGCATTTCCACTAAGATCTGGAATTGGACAGATGCCCATTTTCACCATTGATATTCAATATAGTTCTGAAAGTTTTAGCCCAAGCCATTAGGCAAGGAAAAGAAATCAAAAGGATATAAATTGTAAAGGAAGTCAAATTATCCCTGTTTTCTAATAACATCATTCTATCTATAGCAAAACTAAAGGTCACTACTAATAGACTACTGGAAATCATAAGAGGGCTTGGTAAGGTTGTAGGATATAAAATCAACATACAAAAGTCAATAGATTTTGTGTATACAAATAAACATGGCTGAGAAAGACCTTGTAAGAGTTCCATTCACGCCGGCGCCGTGGCTCACTAGGCTAATCCTCCGCCTTGTGGCGCCAGCACACCGGGTTCTAGTCCCGGTCGGGGTGCCAGATTCTGTCCCGGTTGCCCCTCTTCCAGGCCAGCTCTCTGCTGTGGCCAGGGAGTGCAGTGGAGGATGGCCCAAGTGCTTGGGCCCTGCACCCCATGGGAGACCAGGATAAGTACCTGGCTCCTGCCATCGGATCAGCGCG